CAAATGTTATAGGGAAGTGAATGTTTTTACAACTTCAGTATTAATTGGTACTGAATTCCAGTATCCTGACAACATTAACTCTGAATGTAACAGTCACAGCTCAGGATTAGCATGTTTTCAGTTATCCAATCATAAGTGATAGGCCGAGATGCATTACTGTTTTTATTAGATACTACTAACATGCATCTCCTTTGAAAACTTGTGTTGGGGTTTCACCGAGACCCTTAAGTCGTGCTTTGCATCACTTTCATAGCATTCAGTGCCACACACACATGCTACTGAATGAACTGATGCAACATGACATGCAAATGAATAAAAAGAATGAGGGTGATGACTACAATTTCACTTATAATGTGTGTGTTTTGGTACAGTGAAAAAGTATGAACACCTTTTATTTGTTTTAGTGCAGCACATCTCATAATGATCATATTTGAGTGAGTGGGCACATGGTATGTGGTCTTTTGTGGCTGTTTGAATGCATCTGACCACATGAGCATTCATGTTATTAAAGCAACTGAGTCCTGAATTTTGACTGATTCCCCAAGATTCCCAAATTCACTCATTATTCACTTGCTATTCTATATGTAAAACTTCAATATGTAAAACTTCAAACTCTAAACTCTAATTTTATAACTTTTATAAATGTTTACACTACAAAGCGTATAGTGCATCATTGGGGTCTTTTTTTACTCAGTATCGTTGGTTAGTCAGTGAATGATGTAAGTGTTATTAGTAACATTTAAATTTCTTTCCCTGTTTCATTCTGTCGTGCCACAGTCATTATCACATCAGTGTTTTGCCATTGGACCATTAAATTTGTTGTTAGGCCAAAACCTAAAACACACACCTGTACAAATGTATGATACACAAATGTTTAATTTACTGATCTAAATTACTTGTGTGAAGCACACACATTTACTCGCCATCATGTTGATCCAAACCCTTCCACTACAAACACAAAAGATCCTTTATTCTTCTCATTCTCAAATCATTGTTTTTTCATTGAATGTAAGTCTGTGCATGTTTGACACATTAGAATCCTCTAAAATACATAACAAAAGGAATCTATTTGAAGCAAGTGATTAATTTAGATTGTTGTTTGTATGTAGAAAAGAGTTAGAAAATCAACTTATTTACCTTGCTTGATTTGCAAGAACATCTCATTGGTTCTCACATGCCAAACAGAATGATATATTAACTATTATATATAATGCTTTTTTAAAGCTTCTTTGTAGATTATTGTATGTCTCATCCACATATATGTGTGTTCAGGTGCGTAATTTGACGTATATGGTCAGCCGACGGGAGAGGATTAAACGGACCTTGTGCCGAGTGCAGGAGCAGATCTTTCATCACCACGTCAGGCTGCTGGAGCAGGGCCGCGTCACTGGTTAGTATGATGCTCACTTAAAGAGTACTGAAGCCAGGGGTGTCAAACTCGAAATCTATAGACCTCCAACTCACACCTACTTAAAGACCCCGTAAAGTGCTTTGAAAAATGCATTTTTATTCAATCTTTGATGTAATCTTAAACCGAAACATAAAGAAAGGGTGGGAGAGCTTAACTCCTCCCCTTAAAGAACAAGAACAAAAACAAAAAATCAAACAGCCAAAAGTGTTTGTTTTTCCTCAGCTCTGCCAGTGAGAAGTGGTTGAGCTCTAGTGCATCAAATGAAAAGTGTCTTTAAGGGGGTGGGGCATGTCAGACATGAGAGGTTATGATTAGGGATTTTCCAATTGATCGGCTAGAGATCTGTGTCAGCTGATATTCACATTTCATGACTCAATCGGTACTCGCCAATCTGGCCGATTTCATGAACCGATTGCAAGAGTTTGTTGTTGAGTTTACACGTAGAGGAAGTGGTAATAAGACTGAGTGAACGTGAACAGATTGAGAGAAACACAGTGATGTTCTAAGTATTACATCGGTAAGGTTAACTTCTTATGCATCAATTATGCGCTCCAAACTTTTTCTTCATTGAAACATGTTGAATTCTTCTTCCATCATTTGCAATGTTTCCAAATTGCATTGTTAATCATTTCTTACCGATTTTTAAAATGTTTTTTCTATTATTTTCTGTAAAACTCCCTTTGACCATGACATTTCCGAACTAAATGGTTTTAATAGACGTTTTAAGGGATTACATGCAGCAAAAGTGATGATCTCGCCTCACCTAAGAAAATAAATAAAGTATCATACTTAAAGGGAAAATGAACTATTTTGCATTATAAAGCTTGAAGCATCAGAATCTGTACTTGGAATCTGACGATCACCATGACAAAGAATTTGTACTCTGTTTCAGCTGCAAAAATCCTGATCAGAGCATCCCTGGTTATGATGTAATGAGAAACTGAAGTATGAGGTGACATGAATAAATCTATTGATCCATTTAGGGAGAAGTGACAAATTACAAGCTTTACATGTTTATATCAGTTTTGTATCTTCTAAACGCCAATTTTGTCACTTTTTTGGGGTGCGCTAGCTTATAGATATCCTAAAAACTAATAATACTGATACTGACATCTAAAAAACTTCATTTTAATTTCATAGGACCTTTTATAGTTTCTAGTAGTCTTGAACACCTTGATTAGTTGGATAATTTGTGTTTGCTTAGAGTTGGAACAAAACCCTGCACAGCTGCGGCCCTGCAGGAATTGAGTTTAATACCTGTGATTCAAACCATTTGACCTCTTCTGTTTTCTCTCCTGGTCAGGTATATCCTCTACTAGACGTTTGGAGGAGGCTATGTTTTATTTCCGTACGACGCCACCTGTGCCAGCATCTCCTCAGCCTCTGAAGGGCCACTGTGGGCAGAACAGCACACTGAGCTCCAGCGAGAAGGGAAGCAACTCTTACAGATCCTCAAAGCATATTGAAGCAGACAAGCCTGCAAAGATGCTCATGGACGGCGTTCCCAGTTCTGGAGACTCTGTGAGAAGCGAGACAGTGATGTCTGCTTCATCTAGACGTTCTGAGGGCAGGACGAGGAGCGGTGAGTCTCACAGAAAAGAGGAGGAAAGTGAGCGTCCTCTGGAGGACAGGAGGAGAAAGAGCAAGCTATGGGACCAGGTGTCTATTAAAGACAAACTGAGGCATGCAAAGTCTATGGAGGACACGCTGAGCAGTGAGACAGAGCTCGACACAATGGATGACAGATTGCTGCTGTCTCACACTAACGCTAATTCTGTAGCCACTGCTCCAAACATGTACAGCGGATCGCCGAGGAAGACAAACGCAAGCCATCAGGGAAAACTAGTGCCAAATGGAACATCCGGGCGGCATCTGAAAAACTGGGGCAGTTTCCGAATCCCCAAACGCAGTGAGAGAACGTCAGCAGGGAGACAGACCGAGAGGCAGGAGGCAGACAACACCGCAGACCAAAACTCTTCCTTAAAAACGTTTAGCACAAGCCCCTCCTCTCCTCAAATCAGGACCCGGCTGCGGACGGGAAGTGAGAATCGACGCCATCTGGAAGAGTCTGATCTCGGCCAATCGGAGCAGGGTAAGAGGTGTCACACCCAGAGACTTCCGAGCCCTATGACTAGACGATACGGTTCAGACGTGATCCAACGTGGAGTTCTCGCATCTTGAAATGTCCAAATATATTATCATTATTATTTTCCCTCTTCATTTGCTCTTCAACGAAAGGTGAACAGGTGGAACGATATTTATTTTTCTAGTCTGTAATTTTCTGCTGAAAGTATTTTTTTGTGTGTATGTTAAAACAAATGTGGAGAGGTTTCAAAGACCAAACGATTGGCTGACGAAGACGAATATCTTCCTAATAATCGATGAATGAAACTATAAATCAGGTGAAAATGAACTGGCGGAGTTTCGAGATGAGTTATGAGCACTTCTGAGGGTGTTACCAGCGTGAAATGAAGCCAGTGCAGCCCAGCTGTCTTAAGTCCCACACAAAAACTGCACTTAACTGAGCACTTAAAAAGAAAAACATATTTGACCACAACAGTCGAAGCAGTTTCCAAAATTTAGGAAAGACTTTTAATTTATTTTTCAGTATTCTGCTAACTTAAAAGGCCATCATGTGTTGTGTGTATGTGACATGTGCCATTACTTCTGCTGTGGCACCTTTTCCTTCTCAGGTAAAATCTGCTTATATTTGTACTTAATTTATAGTGTTATGTCTTTTTTTTCCCTCTCCAAACTGAGTGTGTAACAGGTTAATGCCTTATATGTACTCTCTTTGGTCTTGAAGAAATTCCTTTCCATATAAATACAAATAAATAATAAAAAACTGTTCATTTAACCATATTCTTCAGCAATAGATGGACACTGTAGATCTGGACAGATTCACACTCGGTATGATGAAATTATGACGCATACGATGTATATCATTTGCAGCTCTGTTCAGGAAGGCTTTTAACAATCATTTACTTCCAGTATCCATTACTTTGCACTTGATATTAAACAATAACAGAAGACACTATCATAGCTCTAATGAAAACACTGTTGTGTTGAAAGGACTGATCTTCTTGACATGGTTGCCTTGGAGTAGTACGCAGAATATGTGTTCTTGCATCTTTTTCTTTATCGCTGTAAATGTCTCCTCATGCAAAATGTGAGTTGATCTCCTTCAGAAAAAAAAGTTTATCTTGTGCCTGTTTTTGTTGAGATGTTGCACTAGAACATTAGCCAGAGAGCTTGGTATAACTGTGTTCACAGACAAAAAAACTTTCTACATGTTTATATAATCAAGCGCTGCTGTAATTTTCTTCTTTCTTTTCTTTTATTCTTATGCAATACTTTAGTTTTGTTGCAGATTGTGAATAAATTTTCTTGAGGTTACTTGAGGAGATGAAGTGTGGCTCACTGGAAACTTTTCAACTTTTCTCTGCTTTCAGACCAGGACAAGAAATCTGATATTGTCCCCAACATTTAAATATAGAAGCCTTTTGTTACAACGCAATTTTAAACTAAATCTTTAGTATTAACATTGCATTTGGATCTGCTTACTATGACCAATAATGAATATAAAAAAAACATTTCAGAATATTTATTAGGATAAAACTGTTAATGCATCTTTAAACACCAGATAATGGTTCCCATTCATTTCAGATCTGACAACATATCAATGATTCTTTAGTCAGAGATTGCAGTGAAAGATTCACTGATTTGCTAATTCAACAAAGTAGTGAGAATCTTTCTTAAAAAAAAATGTTCAAAGTGCACATTTTAAAACACAACTCCATCATCATCTTTGTGGAAACTACAAAACATTAAAATGTACATACATTCAGTCTATTGGCATATAAATGTAGTTGACATCCAAAAACAACAATGGCAGATTTTAGGACTGCACTTTTGTGTCTAAGAAGAAGTGACATCGCCACCTGCTGGCCAGGTATATGTATATAAAAAATATCCGAAATTACCTACTATACCCTTAAATCAGGGGTCCTCAACCCCATTCCTTGAGTTCTTTCTTCCTACAGGTTTCAGTTGCAAACCTGTCTGATCTTTAAGTGCTGCTTCAGGTCCTGTTAAATTAATACACTTGTTCAGTTGTGAGCTAAACTCTGCAGGAAGGTGTTTCTCCAGGAACAGGGTTGAAGACATCTGCCTTAAATACTGCATTATTTAAGGAAACAAAACAGCTATATTCGTGTCCGAAACCATATAGTAGACGTTCTGAAGTGACCCCAATCAATCCTACAATGCACCGCAATAACGAGTCGAGTGAACAGATGTACGCTGAGGGTTCCTTACTGAGGAGAATGATTTCCCGCGTGTGCGACAAAATGGCGTCAACCGCAGTATCTTATCAGTGTAAGTTTGTAAATAACTGATTATTTATTGTAAAATTAACGTGTACATGATAGAATACTTTGTTTCATTACTAACCCTGATGGAAAAAAAACTGCATATTTGCATAGAACCAGCATTGATGCTAGTATGTTGGTCTTGCTGCCAGTTTTAATGCTGGTTTTTCTGGTCTGAGTGATGGTCCTGAGCAGCACTAGCATCAAAACACCTTACCAGCATGTGCTGTTTTTTCCAGCAGGGATTAGACAACATAAACACTGACAGCAATTTTATTTCATGTTTATTAACCAGCAAAGCACAAACAAATATACCTCTCTTTTGGTGCATCATGCTCAAATTTACTCATGTAGAGTTTATTAGTGGACTGATGTAGAGAAAAGTGAATGAGGGTATAGGGGCAATTTCGAATAAATCCATGCTTTGTGTGTGTGTGTGTGTGTGTGTGTGTGTGTGTGTGACCAGTTAATGTTTAGAAATCATCGTTTTCATGTTTCATACAAGCCATTTGTTGTTTCACACAGTAAACTCTGGCACATCTAAACATGAAATTAACAGCAACTCACAGAAAACATCTGACTTCACACAATTGCTGTCTTGAAAGTAGGATAAATCCACCTCTGTGTGGACTTTTAGATTCAATCATGGCCGCCGTATTGACAGACTGCTCCAAACCGAAGTGCTCAAAACTGGCCATTAAAAACATTCAGAATGAAGGCCAGAAGTGATGGACACTTACTCTTCTTTAAATTTTGATCCCTTACACCCTTAAACCCTTCAAAGGGCATACAGATGAACACTGAATTTAGAAAATGGAACACAACCAGGAATTTCCTAACTTGCCAAAGCCACTTTAGTCCTACAGTGGCAATATTAGCATCGTTATGGTTCCAGGGATGGCATTTAAACACAATATATATACACCTTTGGACTCGTAAGCCGCTTTGGATCAATAGTTGGTCAATTCAGCATGATAATGTTTGAACAAACTTTTATGGGAGACTTTACTACTAGAGTGCAAATGTCACAGTGATTAATACAGAAGTTAAACTCGCAAGGCATCCTTAAAACTCGCTAATAGAATTCTGGCTCATTTTTAATGAATGTTTCCAGCTCAAGGCGATAAAATCTTTTAGCCTACATTTCCTCACCAAATCCGGTGCTAAAAATAAAACCATAATCATGTCAGGTCTGTAGTTTTCCTCAGGTTCTTCATAAATACGCTCTTTTAAAGTGGACTTTCCTCAAAGTTCCACGAGATCCTAAACAGGGATGGCAGGAGTTAAAACTTTCCTTAGGTCCTTTGTTCATGTTGGTGTGTTATCTTCAAATGTGTGGGACCAGGTAACGTCTGCTATGTGTTATCAACTGATGGCATGTCGTGTATCGTCACGATGGTCGAGCCGCTGTTGGTGCTGAAATGCTCTCCATTACTGTGGTCTATGTTTCCCAGGTCGACCCGAGGGATTCGGAAGCCGTTTTCAGAGGATCCGTTTGACTGAATGAAGCTTCCAGAAGCTGAGCTGGTGCCCACGTTGCTCATGGCCAGGTTTGTATTTGTGGTGGTTGAAGACACTTTCTTTCTTGGTTTGCTGGAGCCTCCTGACAGCATCCTTTTTGCGTGAGTCCTCCTGCAAGATGGATAAATATAATTATTTTTTTTAATGAATCAGATTAGATTTTTAGGCTGAAATTGAAGCTTTTCGGTTGTATCAATATTGGATGTGGGCAATTTCAGCATTATGGATGTAACATATGCAGTAAAAACTCAAAACCTAAATTCACTGAGAAAGTATATGTTAATGTGCAACATTGTGGCTCAGTGGTTCAAGTCCTTGCTGGGTCAGTTGGCATTTCTGTGTGAAGTGTGCATGTTCTCCCCATGTTCGAGTGGGTTTCCTCCGGGTGCTCTGGTTTCCCCCACAGTCCAAAGTGAATTGAATAAGCTAAATTGGCTGTAGTGTAAGAGTGTGTGTGTATGTGAGAGAGAATCAGAGTGTGTGGGTGTTTCCCAGTACTGGGTTGCAGCTGGAAGTTGATCTGCTGTGTAAAACATGTTAGATAAGTTGGCAGTTCATTCCGCTGTGGTGACCCCTGATGAATAAAGGGACTAAGCTGCAGGAAAATAAATGAATGAGTACATGGTAACGTTATATTGAAACGTTATATTGTTTATATTTTTCATAACGACTAACCACATCAGTTGTGGGATCAGAAATATTTCAACCCATGAACATTTTTTAGATTTTAAATGAGGAAAATAAGCATGTGTTATGGATGTGACAAAAAATCCACTTAAAGCATTTAAAATGATAAGCATGTGTTATGGATGTGACAAAAAAGTCTTACAGTACACAACATACTTTGTAGAAATTCAATGAATTTAATTGCACAACCCAAAAGAAATAATGCTAATCTAAAGCAGTGTTTCTCAACTGGTGGGTTGCGACCTAAAGGTGGGTCGCGGGAACATTTTCAGTGGGTCGTGGAGTGTGTGTTTAAAAAACAACAACAAAAGTTTACATTTTCACCGGACTTTTATTGTGAAATGCGTGCGCAACAACCCTACCGTTTGACATGTGAAATTTCATTTAATTATTGCAACAAATATGTCAAGCGAAAGTATGACACCGAATATGTAAAGTATGGATATATATATATTGACAACAAAAAAGACTTAAAGCTTCAGTGTCATATGTAGTGAGGTGCTCTCATAAGAGAGCATGAAACTTTCTAAATTAAATCAACGTTTAGAAACCAGAAAACATATTTTATTAACAGTTTGATATTAACAGTATTTGTCGTTTTTACTTTGTAATATTTCTATAATTTGATCCATTTTGTTAAATGACAGCAATAAAATAGTATTTATTTGTAAGTTTTGGTGAATTTCTTATGATGTATCTGTCACTACTTGTTTATGTTAAAAATAAATACAAATAAAGTATAATTGCTAAAATTGTATTATAGTTCCTAAAAATTTGGGTCGCGGCTTGATGACCATGTAAAAATGTGGGTCCCATGGCCAAACTAGTTGGGAACCCCTGATCTAAAGGATAAGAGTTGGCATCACTATAGAACAAAAATTAATTCATTAATTTATTTATTTTACTCTACTGGCGTCATGGTGGCGCAGTGGGTAGCACGATCGCCTAACAGCAAGAAGGCCGCTGGTTTGAGCCTCAGCTGGGTCAGTTGGCATTTCTGTGTGGTGTTTGCATGCTCTTCCTGTGTTCGCATGGGTTTCCTCTGGGTGCTCCGGTTTACGCCACAATTCCAAAGACATGCGCTATAGGTGAATTGAATAAGCTAAATTATCCTGTAATGTATGTGTGTGCATGTCAGTGTGTGTGGCTGTTTCCCAGTGCTGGGTTGCAACTGGAAGGTCATCCACTGTGTTAAACATATGCTGAATAAGTTGGCGGTTCATTCCGCCATGGCAACCCCTGATTAATAAAGGGACTAAGTTGAAAAGAAAATGAATGAGTTTTATTTGAAATTTTTGCATTTATGAGGAAAAAGCATTGTTTTGGATGTGACAGATGTGAAATTGGATGTGTTTTGGTACACCATATATTATTATTTGAAAATATTATTTTTATAGTAAAGTAAAAAAACAAGCCTATAAAAACCTTAGAAAGACTTTTGCTATTTTGGTGAAACTTTGTTTGCATGGAATTGCTCATATGTAAATGCATGATCCTCTTCATTCCATTCCATTTTGACAGATCATTTTAAAACAAATATACTATTTATTAAATCTTTAATATTTTATCACGTTGCATAATTTAATGTTGCAATGTATAAATCCACTTGAAGCATTTAAAATGACATTTAAAAGTGTGTTTTTTGTTTATTTCAGTAACACACTGAATAATACATATTCACCTATTAATACAGAACATTTAAAAGTAAAAATACAACACTATTTTCTTCTAAAATGTACTCCAATAGCTTTTTTTAATGACCAACTTAAAAATAAATAAACATTTTTAACCCTTTATCTTCGCATCACAACTGCCTGCTTTTCATTAAACATTAAACAACAGAACATGATTTAATCAAAGAGACTAAAGGGTTAAATTAGAGAAATTCATTCCCTATTCTATTGACCATAATAATAATAATAATAATAATAATAATAATAATAAAAATGTTAAGTTGCTTCTGTATATTGGCTAGATTTGTACCACTGGTGCTGCTCTGAACTCACAACCCAAATAAATCAACCCAACAGAGAAACAGATCTGACATCTTTTATAATCTTATCCTGAGCCCTGAGAACATTTCTAAGTGTGCTCAAGTGTGTTCGGATGAATAGGCCTCTAATCTTTATTCAGCATCTTTACATGGCCTGTCTAAAATTGTCCTGCTATTGTGAGCAGAAAGAAAAGGAGTTCACCGCGTGGCATGTTACTCATTCATTATGCTTGCATCGAAATGTTGCCTTACCTGTTGTACGTCTTGAGGACTATGAGCAAAAATGTGAGAATGATGATTATACCAATGACGATGACAGCTATCATGGCTCCTGAGCCTGTGAACAACAGACAGAGGATGTTACATTAGAAATATTGTGAATATTAAGGGTTGATTTTTTTTCTTTTCCAATCTATAATTCAACCAATCATTCAAATCAATCACACACAAATAAATATCAGTAAAGCCAATATCACCCACTCAGTACCCCCCCCCCCCCCCCAAAAGACTAAATATTTGAAAGACAAGTTCTATTTGAAGCAACAACAACAACAAAAAAGCATATTCGATTTTCAGTTCACTCATTTGATTGCAAAATAAGAAAAATGATAAGATATACAATTCAGAATTGAATGTGAATTATTTCAAATACGTTGTAGAACAAGTTACAGGAACTGAGACGCTCACAATGTTCAAATGCTTCTAGACGTCTTGCTCCCATACATCGTCACAACGTCAACATTGTGTGCGACAGCTTAAGAGCCCATTGTACACAATTTTCACACCAGTTAAAAAACACAAGACTCAAATCAGTACACTGAAAAATATCTGTCATTTAAACAGTAATAAACAGTAAGGATGCTACGATAAACATTTGTAAACTGTTTCATGGTAAGTTTTCTTAATAATCGGTAAACAATCAAAAATTCACGTTCCCTGCATGAATTTTATTTTTTTCCCTGCTATATTGTAATGGGTAAATTCTAGCAACTACAGCTCCTTTTTTTTTTTTTTACCAGAAATTTTACTATTTTTTATTTTTATATTTACAGTGTAGTCTCAACCACAGATGTTCTATATTCAGCCTTTCCACAGGCTGAAAGTCTGATGCATATTGAAAGCAAAATTAAAAACACTTCAAAATTCAGAAGGATTTATGTGAGATTTCTGTTATTGGTTGATTTACATGTCACTCAGATAGCCTCTGAATACTCATTGGCCAATGAAAACTCATGCTGATTTAGACATTCTGAAAGTCCAAAGGGCACTTCAGAGTAAAAGCAGTAATCATCACCATATTGAAGTGTCATTCTAAATCGAAGTGCTCAATACTGGCCACTTCAAAGTGCTCTTTGGAATGAAGTATTTCAAAAGGGTAAATCTGATAGACACTTCGGGCAGCCATGATCCTTTGTGCAGGGAAGTTGTTGGGTGTCACACAATTCATTCCATTCTGAAGAGCTCGTCCCTATTTCCTAATCCCTTTGAAGCTGTCACTCTGAAGGGTAAACCCTTCGAAGCATTAGGGCATAAGGATGAGCCCTTTCAAATGAAACGCAGTGAATCACTGTGTCCATCAGAGTCCAGCAGTTTAGATTTCCAATATGCAACATGTAACATGAAATCCCACAGCAATTCAGAAATGCAGAATAGTGAAATAGGAACGGTTTGTAATCTAATTATTCATTCATTTTCTTTTCAGCTTAATCTCTTTATTAATTTGGGGTTGCCACAGTGGAATGAACCGCCAACTTATCCACCATGTTTTACACAACAGATGCCCTTCCAGCTGCAATCCAACACTGGAAAACATCCATACACACTCATTCACTATGGACAATTTAGCTTAACCAATTCACCTTTACCACATGTTTTTTGGACTTGTGGGGGAAACCGGAACACCCGGAGGAAACCCATGTGAACACGGTGAGAACATGCAAACTTCACACAGAAATGCCAACTGACCCAGCCGGGGCTCGAACCAGTGATCTTCTTGCTGTGAGGCGATTGTGCTACCGCATCGCCTATAATCTAACTAATAAATACTAAATCCATTAGCATTATTAAAAGTACATACTGAGTAACTGATCTTGTTGGTTCGCAGTTGCATTTTACATCTAAGCATTAATGTATAAACTATATGTTTGCCAGTTATTTTATTTTTAACGCCAGAGGTAAACATCAGTTGGTGCTTTCAGTATGGCAATAAATGTCACACAAACTGGTATTCAACCTAACCCTAAAGCCGCGGTCACACTTCACTTTTTGTCTCATAGACTTTCATTCATATGCATGCAAATTTGTATGAGCAAACCGGAAACACAAGCTCATGTGAAAAGTTTTGCATGGCACTGCGTTGCTAAGTTCAAGCTTGGTGAACTCTGACCTGTGAAATCACATCACCTGATTGCGTGAGCCCAATAGAAGATCAAAACATGATCAAAACTTAAAGCAGCACTGTACGCAACTCTAGTGTGACTGCGGCTTAACACTAAATAAAACATAATCAGCACCTAAGGTTGTCAGCCGTGATCGCAGAAATGTAAACTATTTCTAAAATAAACACTTCAAGTATCACAGTCGAGGGTTGATTAGGAGGACAAATGCTCAGATTAACACAGACAAAAATAGATTCATAGTGTCTTGGTGTTGCATCTTAGATAGCTTGGACAAAATGCAAATCTGAACTGCTTTTAAAGTTCACTTGAATCGAAACTAACTTATCAAACTAAGTATATTTTGGTCAAGCTGAAATCAGACGACGTCATACTATAGCAGAAGCAAATGGTCAGATTTTGATTAAAGATTACAAACCACATTTTTTTCAGTGGATTAAATTTTTTTAAGACAATGTCTAAGACTAATAGTGTGCATAAGAATAAACTGTACATTTTGATTTCATGTAGACTTTATTATGATCGGTACAATTTTAGACACTTCACCCCTTCAAAGCAAACAATTATTTTTCATGACCCTGAACAGAACAAACTGTAACATGACTGGTTGTTTTTCACGTCAGTCAGATTGCCTCTGGGTGATTCTTGGCCTATGAAAGCTGATAGGAAGATTCTTTTTAAATGTGAACTTCTTGGCCACTATATTCTTACAATTCTGTCATGCATGAGGTGCTGTAAAAGATATTATATGTGAACACAACAAATACATCCATTAGCTCATGTTTACAAAACAATGGAAAAGACAGCGAAGTGCAGTCATGAGAATGTTTTGTCCAATACACCATTCAAAACTCTCACTCTGAGACATAAATTACGGCATGGGTATGAGCCTTGCCCTAATTCACCAATGGAAGTTCAGAGTTTTTAGTCCAGTGATGGCATAAGAACACAAAATAGAAACCTTGCACTCTATCTCTTTTAAATGAATTGTGCGTGTGAACAACAGATAATAAATAAACAAATCAGATCGTCTTATGTTGTTTTTGGATTTGAAGATGTTATACTTTTTCATAAGGTTCATGACAGGTCTTTTTAACATGTGAGGCCAATGGCAAGGAAGAATTGTGTCATAAATAAATCTCCTCAATCACAGGTTAAACTTTCTTCAAAATGTCATGATTGTACACTTAAAAATATCTGCTAATTAACAGTTTCTGTATTGTAAGAAAAATATGGAGGATATAGAAGATCTTATTGGAAATGCTTATTCAGCACAGCAGTCTCAAAGTACACAGCAGTATCCGTGCATTTCATCTGAGTCAGAATGAAGCCAAACATTCTTCAACTCAAATCTTTTATACTGTACTGTTGTTGCCTTTAGGCTTGCCTTTAATTATTCATTCTTTTATTCATTTTATTTTTTCGGCTTAGTCCCTTAGTCCCCAGGGAGAACATGCAAACTCCACACAGAAACGCCAACTGACCCAGCGGAGGCTCGAACCAGCGACCTTCTTGCTGTGAGGCGAACGTGCTACTCACTGCGCCACAGCGTTGCCGACTTGCCTTTATGTTAATGAATTTGCTGTTGACACAGCTGTTCTCTCTGTCTCTCTATGTTAATGCAGTTTCCACAACATCTCTGTGCCAAATACCCATCCCCATTCTACAGTTGTTACCATTTGCTCAAGGTATATTCACCTCAAACAATGCAGAGACAACAAACTGTTGACTTCTCTTTTCTATCATACTTCAGCCCTTTTGGGAAATAAGCATCAACACACCACTTAGAGTGAAAGTTGTGTCGAGGCAGACTTAATTTCTTGCAGTATTTTGTAATACACAAGTGTTTTCTGTTTCTTAACGGTTAAGAATTGAATTATGGGAGCTTGTTCTCTGCTTTCATGACATTTGATGTTAAAAATTCAACATTTTCGTACTTTAAAACTATTAAAATATTAATAAACGTCTCCTTCGATAACTTTTCAAAGTTAAAAGTTGTTGTAGAATGATCAAGGTCCCATAATGCACTTCAGAAGTATAAATAAATGGGGAAAATTTAACATGAATCACAAAATACGGAAAACTGCTAATTTATGGATATTTTTATAGTGTCTGTTTGAAAAGATGTGAATTAGATTTTTGCGCAAAAGTGGAATAACATAAAATATTTTCAAATAAAGCACTGTTTCCATCCAGTAAGACAAATCATCACTTCATGATGAACTGGCACCAAATATCAAAAAGAAAAATGAAGTTTGCTGCTGCTTTAGAACCCACTGTGGGGCTTTTTTCTCACATAAATTGCTTGCACCTCAGAAGATGTGCTGGAATTTGTGTTCATGTGTCCATTATAGTTCAGGCACATTTTTATTATCAGATAATATGTTTGTCCTACTTAGTTGTGCAAATAAGCTTTTTTCGCATTTTTTTCAAAATGTACTGTATGTGTAAACATTGGCTTTTCCATTAAACATTTTAAATGCAATATCCCAAAATGTGCATAAAGATAGGTAGATGGAAACATAGCATAGATTTCGATTGAGAAAAGACATAAAGTGGATTCCAAAAAGCCTCCACTTGTTCTTCCTGCCAGAAGACAGAACACATGCATGTGCAGTGCACAAGAAACCATATTGTAGAGAGGTTTAAAACGGTGAATCTTAACATTTTTTAAAAGTTAGTTAAAGGCCACTGTTGGGCCCTGCCCCCCTGGTTGAGAACCACTGGCCTAATAAGACTTTAACTGTTTGAAGTGCAGATGCATGCGAAACTTACTCTGTGTAAGGATTTGTTCTCTAGATTTGGTGAAGGCTGTGGTGTTTTGTGTTGTGGCCTGGGTCACAGATACTGTGCTCGCCCTCTGCATCTTCAGACTTCTCCTGAAAATAGAATGAAAAAGATTAAGCAAACAACATCACTTCGGCTACTTGAACATAATATTCCTAAAATTAAGGAATGACTTCATATTATGATTCTACACTACAACTACCAAATTTCTCAATGCCTTGTTCTTGTGCTTTTAGCTCTACATATGTTTGCCTAGCTCAAAACAAAATGTTAATTAAACCAAACTGCTGTTTTGGTGACTTTAATCACAATACATAATGCATTATGTTTAATAACCACCTAATTAAATTAGAGATGATACATTGGCTGAGACTGAGAGAACACAAACATTTAGTACGTTAAGAAAACACATGCATATATAAAAATCACTAACAGACTGTAAGAACATTTTTATAAATTTGACCAAACGTGCACGAGCACAACACATGCAAATACAGAAACGTACCACAAATAATGCAGACTGTAACGAAAATGTGTCCAGGGACCCCAAAAAGTGACATCTGAGAGTTTTTTGTTTATATTAACGTGGTTTTACCTGGTGGTTTCTTGTTTATATATTTTAGCCCTGTTGATTTGATTAAGTGCACTGCTAATAATAAATGTCTTTCTTAATATAAACTGGAAACTGTCGAGTTTGTCATTTTTTTGGGGGGTCCCCGACACATTTGTTTCTCAATTTACACTCTCATGTGTTGTCAAACTGATGAAAATACTTCTTTATTTGTTAGTATTTTTCATTCATGTGGGAGCTTTTTCAGACACTGTATTGTAATTCTACTAATTCATCCCCAAATTGAAAGATTAGATTCCTCAGATCAGATTTTAGGTATATAGATACTTGACATAGAGGTTATGTGTTTAAATGGTTTACATGAATCTGCTGAAGAAAGTCGGAGAGATGTATATCATGCTCTCATATATCTGTCAGCAATAAACATCTCACACACTAATCAACTTCCCTTTTTTAAATCACCACATGCCATAACTTCAGCAGTCAAAACACAGCACAATCTGTCCTGCTCCTTTAGTCCTGCATGATTTTTTCAAAGTAGGAATAAGAGTCAAGCTCCGAATAAGAAGAAATTTGATTTATTTCAGGAGCTTGTACTCGCTGACTTCCCAGTCTCTGTCGTCCTGAACTGCAGCGTCTCACCGCAAGCTCAAAATTATACAGCAGCCATTTAATTGAGCGTGTAGTGTCCTGGATGATACAGTCAGAGCTGCTTTAAACGGCAAACGGCATTGGCCATAAAGAACTGAACAAGAGCAAGGGAGCACTTCAATTCAGATCACTCAAGCAAGCACATTCATACGCTCGCTCACTCCTACACGCTCAAACACTTTAAAGCACAGCTGAAGTCTATTCTTCACCTGCAGATTATATTCAAATACACCGGCGACTACAAACCATGCAAAGCCTTCCGTTTCGTAACAGCTATTATGCATCTGACAGCGTGGGCTCCACAGCCCATTGCTCAGTGCAAAACAGTGAAAAAATGTATGCACTGTCTAATTTTGTCACTGAGTTGGATACTGGAGTGTCCTAGAACCAAAAACCAACACCTTAATTTTACTTAAATGCAGATTTCATTTGTTATCTGTTAATTTATCTGTATTAGAAAACTTTGGATATTTTAAGGTATTAACGCTTTTAAGCAGTGTTATGTGAGAATAAATAATAATAATAATAATAACAATAATAATTGACAACACCAATAAAACCACTCTCATTTTTAGCAAATCTCAAAAGCTATACTTTTATGCCATGCATTATAATGTTGTAGTCCCAAAATTGGCTTAAAATCATTAATTTTAGTTTGGGTTTATCGCATTTATTAAAACAACTTAACATAATAATAATTATCATAATACTATTAATAATAATATGAAGTCAAAGCTGTTAGCCCTCCTGCAAACTTTTTCAAATATTTCCCAAGTGCTGTTCAATGGGGAGAAGATATTTTAAAACGCATTTTAAAACACAATAGTTTTAGTAACTTATTTCTGATAAACTAAATTTTTTGGTCTTTGCCATGATGACAGAACATAATATTTTTTGACACACTAAGCTGATGCAAAATAACTAGCACCGACGAAACCAAACTGTGTAGATGTTGATGATGATGATAATCTCACTCTTATAAAATACGCCAATGATCTTGTATTGGTTTCCTGTCAGGAAGAAATGAATAGCTCCTTAAATTTTAAACATATTAATAGTATCACAGATTGGTTTGACAAAAGTTCATTACATCTTAATATTGGAAAAACAAAAGAGCTATGTCTGGGGAGTCAAACAAGAGCAGTAGATACTAGATTTTATAAACCAGTCATCCTAAATGGAAAAATAGTAGAGCAGGTCTCAGACTTTAAGTATTTAGGCACAATTATTGACAATAAACTGATTTTTAATAGTAATGTAGAGGCTGTTTATAAGAAGGCGCCTCAGTCATCTCCTCAGTCTCCTCTGCAAGTTAAGAAGATTTAATGTTACACAGACTTTAAACATGGCATATAGATCATTGATAGAGAGTGTTCTCACATATAATATTGTTTCATGGTTTGGTACCACAACACTTAAAAAGAAAAAGAAATTATCGTAAATTATCAATCAGGCAAATAAGATAACTGGTCATAAACAACATTCACCGCAGTTTCCGTTTGACTCCTTTATGGAAAAAACAGCAGTTGCGATTTTTAAATATAATACACATCGCCTTCACTCAGTGTTTGAAATGCTACCATCAGGACGCAGGTTTAGAATGCCTAAGGCCTGAAGAAATGCTTAGAAAAAAGTAATTTATCCCAATTGTAGTTGTTGTTTTAAATTGGATCACTGTTTGAAGTGAATGGAGTGGTTGTCAAGAATGTGCAGTAATATGTATGAGACTAATTTGTTTTTAAAATTTTGAGCTTATGTTATTGTCCTGATGAGTGTTGTTATTGTGTGATTGTTGTAAGTATGCAATTGTTGTCTTAAATCTAGTGTTAAAGACAAATTTCCTTTCTGTGCTAAGCAGAACCAACACAATCTCACGGCAATTCATAACTTTTTGATTTAGTGGCTAATTTATATGCATTCGTACAATCTAATTCGTACAATTTAGTACGATTTGCTTATTCCCCAATGACGGTTGGGTTTAGGGGTGGGGTTAGGTTAGGTTGCCACACCTCCTTTTTAAAATCAATTTTGTATGACTGAACTCGTACTAATTTGTACGAATTAGCCACTAAATTGGCTAAACGTAAAATACTTAAGCTTTCTTGGAGATCAGGCTGGCAGAACGGACAATAATATTTAAAATAATGTTGGCTCTCGTCTGGACTAAAAAGCTGAGGAGAGCCAACGCGTGGAACAAACTAAACACACTAGCCATATTGACGAAGCCCAAAGGCCGACTGTCAGTGAGGTGTATCCCGGCCTTATAGAGATGCAAAAAATGAGTGTGCATGTTAGAAATGCAAAAGGTGTGTGTGTGTTTGTGTGTAAAAGCAATAAAACAAATATGCAACACATGCATACCCTATACATTACCTACTACAAGAATACATGGGGTGCTTGGCAGCTCTGATAAATCATCCTATAGGAGATAGAACACATTCATTCATTCATTTTCTTTTCAGCATAGGTCCCTTTATTAATCTGGGGTCTCCACAGCGGAATGGACCGCCAACTTATCCAGCATATGTTTTACGCAGCAGATGCCCTTCCAGCCACAACCCAACACTGGGAAACATCCGTACACACTCATTCAAACTCATACACTATGGACAATTTAGCCTACCAAATTCACCTGTACCGCATGTCTTTGGACTGTGGGGGAAACCGGAGCACCCAGAGGAAGCCCATGCGAATGCAGGGAAACATGCAAACTCCACACAGAAACGCCAACTGACCCAGCCAGGGCTCGAACCAGCGACTTTCTTGCTGTGGGGCGGCAGCACTACCTACTGTGCCACCGCGTCACCCAGAGATAGAATAGTCAGAGGGTAAAATGTCAATATAGGCACTGCTAGATGCACACATAAGTAATCTTTTGTGTTGACTGAAACCTTTCAATCCATAAAACAAAATTGAATAGGTGCCACTGCTGGTTGGTTACTAGCATTTTTTCTAAATATCTTCTTTTGTTTTCTACGAAACAAAGAAAGTCACACAGGTTTGAAATGCCAGGGGTCAGTAATTAATGATAGAAGTTTAGGTATTACTTTTTTTTAAATCTACATTTGCAGCACAATGTACAGTACCTTATAAAACAGATCATATAGTATAGTTCTACAACAAAGTGTCTTAACCAAACACTTTATAAACAACATTTTAAAGGTTGTAATAATTGGGAATTTAAAAATAGGTAGTTATTATTATTAAACGTGAGTGTAATATTTGACTAAACATATTGATGAAGGTGTGGAAGATTTGTATGTTTTCTAGTTATTTTGCAAGATACTAGTAGTCAGATTAAAGCGCCATTTAATGGCTAAATAGGTAAACAAGGTTAAAAGGCTAATTAGCCGAGTCATTGTTCAACCGTGGTTTGTTTTGTAGCCGATCGAGGAAAAATTCTAATGACCTCAAATTCAATTGACCTTGAAAATGGTTTTAAAATATAACAAAAAAGGCTTTTATTTTACCCAAACTAAAAGAAGTAAGTTTTCATAGAAGTAACATATTATTAAATATCAGTTGCAAAATATTACATTTTAAAAATATATATTTTCCCAGAGATGGGTTGCAGCCGGAAGGGCATCTGCTGCGTAAAAACTTGCTGGATAAGTTGGCGGTTCATTCTGCTGTGGCGACCCTGGATTAATAAAGGGACTAAGCCGACAAGAAAATGAATGAATGAATGAATGAATATATATTTGCCTTCAGATGTTTATATATGCATATTTTTGTGTTTGTTAAAGACAAACCACAGTAAGTATTACATTTTAGTATTGCCTACTTATTAGTTATATACTGTTAAACCTGAAAACATTGTTTGCTAAATTCATTAGGCAGCGTTACAGACACAGTCCTCAGCATATAGGAATACTCCCCATTTTAAAAATCAATATTTTATCCATTACTCAGTGAATATGGGTGATATATATTGGTGCATTTGAATAAAACATATTTATCAAACAGATAATATTTAAATAAAATAATATTTTAGCCACAGAACAACTTTAGAAATGGAAAGATAATACAAAAGATAAAACAATTCATGCAAAATATTGCAAAAAAAATTACAAGCTACATTTAAACAATAATCTACATTTCTACAATAATTGTATATATCTTTTATTTCTGTTGATTTTTGCTATTTTTGGAAATTTGTGTTTAATATTTTTCTACAACATAAATTTTGGCTACTAATGTTTTAACCATTAATGTAAGTTATTTTGTTGTATTAGCTCCACATTTGGCTTCAGTACTGACTAATCTAATGTACATGCACAGATATAATATTGATGATAGAGATGTGTGGGGGGTGTATTGGTATATGCGGAGCACTGTATTTACTGCATAACATATTACTTATTAACAGATGTTTATCTATTATTAATCATCAGGAAGTGCAAGTGAACAGAATAATCTACAGCAGAAATGAGACTAGAAAATGTTATTTATTAGTCAGTCATCCAATAATTGATTTAGTTGCCAAGCTCATCTTTGTTATTTTCAGCACAACTTCGTAAAACAGTCTCTTGTGTTCCAGACGGCCCATAATGTCTGAGGTTAGCTCTTATGAGCTTCTCTCTGACAGAATCAATCAGTGCTGATGGAAAGAAAAATACAGCGCCCGCACCACTGAAGAACAGCAAATAGTTGTAAATTGTGTTGCCAGAGCTACAAGGTGAAGCACAGGACATCAGTTCACACCACCATAAAACATGGCATAATACACTCAGAGGCTTCAAGTGTCAGCCTGTGCCACTTGATTTAATTTACAGCCACTTTAAACTGTTCACAGATGAACAGTTATGACAGAACATGACAAACCTTGAATCCTCACAGGGACACATTTCTGCTCAATTCAAGTCAGCAATTTAAAGGGTTAGTCCACCCTTTAATTTAATTTCTGTTGTTAATTATTGACCTCCCTGATACCTTCATCTGTCTTCGAAAAACACAAATATTTTAGATTAAATCTAAGAGTTGCCTTATCCTTCATAAACTGCAATGGTCTTGAAAAATACAAAAAAAACATCCTCAAAAAAGACCATATGCCTTTAGTGGTTCAATCAGAATAATATCAAGCTACTAGAAGTTTTTTGTGCACACATAAAACAAAAACAAATTTTTTAAACTGGTTTCTTCATCATGCATGTCTGCCAACTTTACAGAACTGTAGAGTTGACTTAAAGCCTGTCTAGTTTTTAAAATAAAAGTCCCACATACATTCATCCATTTTCTTATCCCTTAATTATAAGCATATTTAGCATATGCTTTACGCAGTTAATGACCTTCCAGCTGCAACCCAATCACTGGGAAACATCCAAACGCAATCATTCACACACATACACTACGGACAATTTATCTTACCCAATTCACCTATAACACTTGTTTTTTTGGACTGAAACCAGAGCACCGTGCTGCCCGTCCCACATACACAGTAAGTATAATTCATGCTTAGATGAACTTAAAAGGTATAAAAAATAAGGGGAAAATATCATTTGTTGTAATCTCACTATAGGACAAATTGCAGCTAATTAAACGGCATGCTTGTTTTGCTCTGATTGGCCCATATTTCCCCAAGATTTACACGCAAGCAAAGAAACAATGGTGTTTGAGGCTCATGGTGTCATATCCATGTACTGAATTCTTGTTATTTAGCTATGTCTAGGTAGGTATGTCCAGATTTTTATTCTGTGGCAGATTTAAAATTAAACAGAAAAAGCTTTGGTTAAAAAATGCACAAAAGCTCATATTAAGTATTATTTAGTAAAATAAATAAATCAAATGAATCTAAAATAAAGCTGTTGTAGTCATGAAAAATATGAGGTATATGCACACAAACTTTAATTACAGTCAGCCAGCCCCAGAGCTTCTGATTAATAAAATCGCCGTATTTAAGATCTGATTTATTTAAAACAGTGATCTTCACTGCCTGGCTGAGATACGAGAAGCACTGCATTAAGTTATATTTTTCTGCACCATGTCTTTAAAATATGGAAATTAATTTTACTCCATTATTTTTAATAAAACTTTTGCGCTCGTCTGCTGCTAATGACGGTGCCTGTGTTTAAATTGTCTTTTGTCTCTTTTTGCACTTTATCAATCAAATAAATCCTTTAGTCTTTTTATCTGATTATATTTGAATTACATTACAATATCAATGCCATATAAGGAACCTTATGAAATTAAAAATAGCCATATAAAGCTTTTACCGGAGACTCATCATTGGCTGAAAACACTAGCTGTGCATATAGCCCATTGGCTTAACTGTCATAGCAATCATACACATAAAACACTAAAATCTGAAAAACTACATGAAACGCCAACTCGTGTTTCAAAGATAAAAAACGACAGCTGTGCAAAAGCACTCAGTGTGATCTTTCACCTTTCTTAATCTCATTATCTTCGCTCTTCAATCATTTGTTGCCAGCTAAAGTGAAGGTGTGGTCATAAATTATTGCAACACGTTTCTGTTGAATCTAACCACTGGCTTATAATTGTATATTAATTCATTTATTTATTCATTTTAAATAAACCCCATTGATTAGTTCGGATAAAAATGTAGTCACCTAATGTCACCATTCTGTTTTTACCTCAGTTAGTGTAACCATTTGTCACTGTCAGTCAGTTTGGTGAATCAATCAATTTCACATACAATAGAAAGTAAATGTGATCAATTTGGTTTAAGATTACGGGTCAATATTGAACTTGTAAAAAAAGTGATCTCACAGGTGCACTTTAGTGCACGTCACAGTCTTTTTACACACACCACATCAGTCCTCAGTTCCCCTGACTCAAACAATGGCCCATTCATCACTTAAAGTCACAGGTATGTTTGTGTCCGTCTGAAGCCGGATTCCTAAACGTGTCCTGCACTCCTTACAGCAACCTCAAAACCCACTGTAGAAAATTGTAGCTCAGATGATTGTTAATAAGAACCTTCTTTTGTTCCCTGAATGCTTAGACACAAGTTTACAGTGAAAAGTCAGTCTAAGCTTGCAAAAACATCAAATGCAAGTAAAAAAATAAAATAAAATGATTGTGTGATGTTTATCGGATTCTCTGAGGATGTACAGAACAGCACATCCTCTTATTCAATATAGAGAACAACAATTCTGTAATAGTTCCTATTCTCATAGCTTCTAGGTTCAATATCCTAACACATTAGTCATAAAAACAAAGAAAGAGGAAGACACACACTGAAAACAATGCTATTATCATCAAGTCATCAAAACCTTTTTGATTCTTTAACAAATGAAAGTAACTTGAATCATATTTCATTTCAGCCTGATATTTTTAACAACATACCAACAGGTTTAGCCAACATAATCCATATTAAAATGTTAATATTTTAAAATTTTAATCCAATTAAAAACTTGTAAAGTAATTCCACAAATTGTTTACAGACTTACTAAACTTACTCTTAGTACATTTCCTAGATTAAAAAAACATCAATAGTAATACTAACATAATAGAAGAGGGCAAAGGAATTATTTGAAAATGCCTGTAATTCTGTAATTTAATACCACTGTAATTGTTAGTAAACCTCAACATGAACACCTATTTATCACACCATACATGTGATAGACAAGAGTCCCTTGTACAGTTAAGATTATTAATTCCAGTTGTCAGCTTTAATCATTTATTTAAACAAAATAGAGGAGTTTTAATATTCTTTCTATATTGTAACTGTCTATAACATGAACTATTTTTAGCTGGTCTGAATTTTATTGAAGTATTTCATTAATCTTTCCTTACACGCTTTGAAGACATGCAGTAATCCCAATAAAAATCTTTTTTCAAGGGTCAAACTGGGTATAAATTTCACCTCAAGGTAAGAACTCCCAATGTTTACTTTGTATCAGCCAAGAAACATGATCCGACCTAACTGTGATGAGTTTGTTTACTTTAGTTAACAGGTTTACAACTATTTCAGCCCATTTGAAAGACAAAGTGACCCGTACAATACCTACTTATTCAACTCACTTTGAAAAAATCTCATAAACATTTCCACACACACCTGAAGGCATGCAGCTCAGAGACCCTCAAATGACAGCCAGCAGATCCCACACAATGAGTAAATTTCAGCTGATTCTGGCTCACCTGTGCGATCAGTTCCTCGTCCAGGAGCTTCTTTTCTCTCTCTCTCCACAATATTAGTCTGTCCACTCCTCCTCCTTCAGTGAACTGAAGTGAACATAGTCCACACTTCTCCTGCCGTGGACAGAAAAACAAAAACGCAAAGCCGCCTGCAATGAGTCTGTGCTGGTGAGGATGGTTTCAGCTCTTGGCAGAGAGGCAAACTTGACGTCCCATATCAGAGCACTAGACTGAAAGCGCTAGCTGGTTTTTCAGGTCTGGTTTGGCCCTGAAGGCGTGCCCCATTCACAGCACAGTTTACACGCTCCCTTCTCAGTCAGCATTCACCTGTAATTAAACACACACACACACACACTGGATTTCTCTTTAACTTTCTCCCTGTGGCTGCATGTCATATAAATCATTACAGGGTTGTATTGGTGCTGCTGCTGTACACATGCAAATCAAGGGGCCACAGAGAGAGCTGATGTGGTTTATAGATGATCTCTTATCAGACTCTTTTAAATATCCAGTCTGATTCTCTTCTAGTGCATCCTTAACACACGCTCAATTGACATCAGATTGTTTAGATATAAGACGACCAGAGGGTTTTTTGTGGCACTTTACAATAAGGTTCAATCAGTTCATGTAAGGTAATGTATTTACTATGATGAACAAACAACGAACAATACATTTATTACAGTATTTATTCATATTGTTCATGAAAATACTGTCATTCACTGTTAGAAATCACATTGCAATAACTAAATTTATTACACTGCCGTCTGGATTACTTGAATCTGACATCACAACATTTCGAGGTATGTTATTCCCAGATAACAGCCGCTGGAACTAATAACTCTGGCTTATCCGAGTAACTTTAATGTGAATCGTCTTGACCGAATACCAAAAATATTTGCTTATTTTCTTGACTTATTGATGGCATCTAGCGACTGAATATTAAATAAGTTAGGCTTTACGTATAATTTAAATTTTAATAGAAGATTGCAGCTCAGATCAATGTTTTGTTCCAAATTGTTCAATCTTGACGTAAGTAGCTGTGTAATAAGTGCAATAATGCACATCTAGAGTTGTTTTTACAGTATTTTAATCTTATACTACAGCAGCTAATAATCCCCATTAGTATTTATTTTCAATTCTCTGCTCTGAGGCACTTCAAGTTCACCTTTAGGTCTGGTCTAGCCAATAGTATAACAGTGGGGAGGTGGATATAAAGATAGTAAGGCCCCATCTCATTGGTCAAATTTGCACAAAAAAATGCATGCATCTATGCTACAAATTCTTGAATACAATTTCTTCAATATAAATATTCAGTCATTACCGTGATAATAGTATGTGCAAACTCCAGTATTGTGCAGCCCTTGTTAACAAGCACTTTATTTGAATAATGCAGTATTAAGAAATTATATTAAGAAATATTAGTTTATGTTAATATATACATTTAGTAAATCAAATTGATGTAAGAGAATGTGCCGCCATCTATGTGAACTGGTGTCATTTCGTATCATTGAGATTTTATTTGAGTTAATATTGAAAGTTTTTATACAGTTTATTTATAATGCACATTGCTATTTTTTTGTTTTAGTAATTTTTGCATGTTTTTCATGTTATTTTGTTTACTATTTTTTTCATGTCATTATAGTTTTTATTAATTTTCGTTTAGCTTAAATAGTTTGAATAAAACATTTTTCCTTGGCAAATATATATATTTATATATATTTTTATTCATAATTTTACTTTTTTTTAGTTAATTATTTTGTACAATGAGTTCAACTAAACTAAAATGAGAAATATTCCTTCACAACTTGCTGAGATCATTTTGCTAATGTTTAGATACACCTTTTATATACTTTTTACCAATTTACTTGCTTACTATATTGTTCAATAAGTTAAAGTAAACAAAACCTGATTTTTTTCTATATAGTTTTGTTTAGTTTTTCCGTTATATGCTATTTTATTATATCAAAAGAATCTAAATGAAAATTACAGTTGAAGTCAGAATTATTAGCCCCTCGTTGAGTTTATTTTCTTTTTTAAATATTTCCCAAATTATGTTTAACAGAGCAAGGACATTTTCAAAGTATGTCTGATAATATTTTTTCTTCTAAAGAAAAAGTCTTATTTGTTTTATTTCAGCTAGAATATAAGCAGTTTTTAATTATTTAAAAAAAATTTTAAGGTCAAAATTATTAGCCACTTTAAGCTATACATTTTTTGATAGTCTACAGAACAAACCATCATTGTACAATAACTTGCCTAATTACCTTAACCAGCCTAGTTAACCTGATTAACCTAGTTAAGCCTTTAAATGTCACTCTAAGCTGTAGTGTCTTAAAAAATATCTAGTCAAATATTATTTACTGTCATCATGGCAAAGATAAAATAAATCAGTTATTATGAGTTATTAAAACTATTATGTTTAGAAATGTGTTGAAAAAGTTTCCGTTAAACAGAAATTGGGTAAAAAAAATAAACAGGGGGCTAATAATTCTTCCTTCAACTGTATATGTGAATACAATGACATATGTTTTTAGTTTAACATCAAGATAACATGGATTATATTTCAAGTAACAAGTTTTGAGGTAAATAATAACCCTGACTTCCAGCTGTTTTAGTTGTACAAAAAAGTATTCCTCTTAATATAGCAAAACTGGTCATTGTTATCAAATAAATTTAATGATCAAAATCAGAAACACACTGGCTTTGCAGCACAAACAGTCATGCAATGTATTACATTTTTTATTTTGAGGAATTTAACTGGCGCAGTTGATGAATCTGTTGTCCCAGATTCTTAGCCATGCATTGCAAAATATATTAAATAATCACATTACAGTTAATCCCTTAGATAATGAAAGCAAAATTAAATTGACCTGCTATTTTGGAATTTAAGTGTAATTTACCGTAATTCATATTAGCAGAAGAGCATAATTGCTTCTCTGTGCTAAGATGAGTCATGCATTGGTGTGTCCTGCAACTTTCTTTTTCAAAGCCACTTTTAGAAAAGGGTATATTTCATCCTTCCGACAAACACACACACACAGACACACACACCTGGTTAGTAACCAAAATGCGTCAATAAAAGAAAGGGGACATTTGTTCTTTCTGAGGGAGTCCTTCTTCTAAGGGATCCCATGACAGAGTTTCACTCCTGGGTTTTCCAGTCGGTCAGCCAGAGCCATAAGCCAAAGCAGGAATCAAGTTACCTGGAAAAAGCAAAAGTCTTTTCTTTCTATCTTTTAGACAGCCACTTTTACCATTCCTCTTTTAGATGCAGCCTTTGATATAAAATGGCAGATATACATTCATACAGTCTAAACAAAATGTACTCTTCTTCTTCTTCTTTCCCCCCCTGAGATGTAACAAAGCTTCATGGTCCTTGATACAGTTTATCCCAGTGGGAAAACGTCTTTCTCTTTTCTCTGTGGGAAACGTTTTGTCAGATGGCAACATTATATAACACGAACACTTTTGAAGGTCCTGCTCAGCTTTCACAAACAACTGAAGGAGAGCGGAGACTTTCAGAAGAGACTCCATTGTCCTCGGCCTCAATCTAGTTCAAACAAAACTCATTTACATTGGTCAGCGTCTTACATCAGCAGATCTGCTTGATTAATTGGTTTCCTATTGAGTCATGGGATGGGCTGTTGTTCATGTTGCTAAATAAACAACGAATCTGATGCACGATTTTAAATTCTGCTAAACGTAAACATGAGGTAATTTACTGGGAGCAGAATGACATAGGTCTTGCAAAACAAGTGTAATCTGACACCACAAATTAACGTTTACTAATTTAAACAAAACAATAAATGGTTTTCACATATACGTGATTTGCAATCTAAAGCGATAGTTAATTTCTGAGATGGAAATTGGAGACATTTTCTACTTCAAACTGTCAAACTATCACATTCTTTTGATTTGTTATCTTAATGAATGGGGACAATGCATGCTTTTATGTTTTTGTTTTTAAAATATGGATAATCATTCGGTTACAAACTTAATTTAGATATTTGGATAGAAAAACCCAGCATTTCATTCATTCATTTTCCTTCAGCTTAGTCCATTTATTCATCAGGGGTCGCCACAGCGGAATGAACCGCCAACTTATCCAGCATATGTTTTACACAGCGGATGCCCTTCTAGCTGCAGCCCAGTACTGGGAAACATTCATACACACTCATTCACACACATACACTGATACACTACAACCAATTTAGTTTGTTCAATTCACCTATAGTGCATGTCTTTGGACTTTGGGGGAAACCGGAGCATCTGGAGGAAACCCACAAGAACATGGGGAAAACATGCAAACTCTACACAAAAATGCAAACTGACCCAGCTGGTGTTCTGTCGATTTGTCCTACCTTGTTGGCTTGTCCTACCTCCCATTCAAAAAGTAGGTAGCACATTTTGATGACGCAATATGCTACCCATCAGATTTTGCCACCAGTGTAAATTTTAATCTGGAGTAGTGTAGAAATGAAGATGTAATATCACCCTAATCCCTAACCCCAACCTCAGAACCATTCAAATACAGTGTTGACATAATCTGACGGGTAGGATAAAATGTCAGGACACCGGGACTCGAATCAGAGACCTTCTTGCTGAAAGCCATCAGTGACCACTGTGTCGGCCCAACCCAGAATTTTTAGTTTAAAACTTATTTAGTGATGCATTATATATATATATATATATCAGAAGCCATATCAGTATTGGCAAGTATATTTTTATTGTTTAAAATTATTGCCTGATAAAAAAAGTAATTTAACTGTGCAAAAATGAACCATGGGATTTTGAGAAAGAAAATATGCTTCTTTGCAGTTTCCTTGTGTAGATGGTCTAGTTACAAACTATTTGTTTAGCTTTAGTAATCAGGCCCAGAAAAAGTAATATCAGGATTTGTATTTATTGACCTTCATAACTATTATCGGCATCCAAATACAAAGTATTATTAGTTATCGGTGTCAGACATCGGTACACCATCATCGATTATGATTAGG